TTACAAGGAAAATGGACTTGACCAACGTTCTATGAAATTCACAAAGAAAATGAAAACCTCACGCAGCACCCGAAACAACATGCAAAAAGTTTGAAGACCTATGTGGACTATGACTGCAGAGAAAAGGTGTCGAATGCAGCAAGTGTTGCGGGTGACGGGTAATAATTACAGTGTTAATAACAACAATGGATAGTAATAATGATAATTCCCTTTATCACTTGTAACCCCGTTGACCGACGAATGACTGAAGAAGAACCCAGTAAATCCTCCATTTTCATCTGTTGTGTGCAAAAGTAGCCCAGTTGGTTCTGCATGCTCCAGGGACTCGAGCATCATATCTTTCTCATAGGGTTTTCGTGAAGAACTCCGAGCATCGGGTCTGTCGTCTTCCCACAGTACATTTGACATCCCAAGGAAGCTAGCCACTAACGGCTCTTCTCCATCGCTTGTCGTTTATAGGCAATACATTTACGGCCCACCTTATACTCGACTGTTTGCCGTATAGAATGGCGTTATTGATTTTTGGTCACTGGCGTAGGTGGGATGTTCGGACCCCTTTTCTCACTCGTGTGACAATGGATACTCCCAAGATCGTTCTTTGGACTGTGAGTTTGAAAGGCTGAGTGTGATCTTTAATCCTGATTATGTAGCGGTCAGGATCTTGATGCTAAGGCATGAGGAATCAGAGAGCCAAAAAAGCACGGGCACGGAGCCCAGTGTTCTATTTCTCTCTACTGCATCCTGCTCCTCTTGAGAGCTCCCCGAGCCCCTCCCTTCCTTTTGCTCAACTCTGGAGCTAAGACATTCAACACATTGATTTCATGGTTTATATAAACGCAGTCGCAGTATTCATAGGTAATCGTTCCATTTACCCTTAATGGAGCATATGAAACCAATCCATTCCTCATGAACACCGTTTTTGTGAGATTTAGCTCAAGACCAATCTTTCTGCAGAAAGGTTTTTTAGGTGCTTAGATCGTATCCTGTTCAGACTAAGTGTTATTTGTTTCCTCGCCGACGAAGTAGCATGGCGGATTTTGAAAGGGAGATCCGGTGGTACGGCATATTTAGTCGTCTCCTATTTCGTATGAGGGAAGGAGGATGTGGCTATTAAAGTGATCTGAGTAGTAATCATGAGTGATTTTCTCCATTTCCTTTCTGAACGCTGTTACTGTTCCGTCTGGGCGTCGGAGTGCAGTGATTTTGGTCTTGTAATTGGCGAAGCTTCGGTGGGCTTTGCGAATACTTCTCCCAGCCTCTGCAGCTTTGACCATTACTGCTGCTTATCTCTTTTTAAAAACTTTTTTATAGCCTGTCTGCGTTGTTTTGCAAGATTGGACGTTAGTTCATGGTTGCCTGCAGCTCGTGCCACCCTGGCGTATGAGCTCGAGTGTTTATGGAGACAAACGTCTCTTGGTGACTTTCGAAGTCTCAGCTTTCATAGCGCTAACGTAAAGATGTTGAATGAGCCGATCGTATTCTTCGTCGATGTTATCGACAACGGCTTCTTCGCAACAGGCCACTAATGAATTGAAAAAGTCCCAGTTTGCGGTGGTCCTGGGACTTCGGCTTTGATTTAGCGGCTTTTTCTGCTTTCCGCGAGAAATAGAATCTTGCACGGAGGCGATTGTCTGATCCAGTGTAGGATTTTGGGACAACAACGACATCGGTTAGGCAAAACCTTCTATTTACCATTATGCGGTCTATTTCGCTCTGGTACTCCCCACTGGGGCACTTCCGCATCCAGTGTTGAGGGTGGGGCCTCTGGAATTGCGAGTTACCATGGAGTCTTAGTCGCCATGATAAACCCAGATAACCGCTCACTCTGCTCGTTTCATTCTAATTCGTAGATCCCAATGTGGCGTTCTTCTGGGCACAATTGTATCGCTAAAATCTGCAATTATGACCTTGGAGAATGTACAGTCTTCTCTGTAGAACGTCTCCAAGTCCATGTAGAACGCTTCGACTTCTTTGGCATAGTTTGATGTGGGCACATAAATGACAAAGATAGGCAGAGCCGGTATTCATCAGCCAGCCTGTTGATATCGTACCTCATTCTCCTTGATCGCATGATCGAGTCTTCTATCGAGGATTCAGATGCAAGTGTGGGTGCATTGTAAGCACAGATATTTATAATATTCCTTTGCGATTTAGGCCGCCTAGATTGGCCCCGAGACTTGAACAACCTCTCCGTACTCATCCTACCTAACGGTGTCGTATAAGGTGCTCTTTATAGGTCAGGGGAATGAGGCCCATTTATCTTACTTGTTTAGCTCTTTCATTCCCACACATAGTCCGCCGAGCTCTCAACGTGGGTGCTGGGTATACTCACGGGTAGCCTCCCAGGCTCTCCCAGAGTGGACATGGAGCTTATTTGTTGGAGGCGACTCTTAACCGCTTCCCGTATACTTCCCAGTCACTTGATTGCAGGCTTTTGCCCAAATTGACTCGTAGAATGCAATCCACATAAATGAGAACACAACCAGGCACACATGTATGAGTACATCTCCGTAAATACAGGAAGTACGTGCCAAATCTGCGCAGCAGAAGCAGAGAGTTCATCTTCTGGATACACCTCCGTCTCACGAAAACAAAGGTTGCTTTTCGTCCACGATCAACCCCCTATTCGCTACCTGCGGGTGTCACGTTGCCTCGACTACGAACACACTGTGTTTTCTCCTTCCTCCTACTAGGTTCTTTGAATTTGCACCGCATTTTACCAAAACGGGCAGCGAGTCGAGTGGGAAACGTGATGTCCCAATTATAAGCTTGTAAAGCAAAGGGTGGAACTGCTCTACAATGCACACTGTGTCGCTCTTCGACCCCCTCTGTAAACCAGCCCCATCTCTTAAAGTGGTATCAAAGTTCTCTCTAAGACCAACAACACCAATTTTACATCGCAAGGTCAACCGAAGTCGTTATATAGGCCGTTTATGCATCTAGTCACCTTTACGATATTTAATGGAATCGAATTCATTGGGTGACCCCAAGAAGTTGGTGTATGCCTGACATTTTATCGATTCCCTCGTTAATCCCAGCTGTTCTAATTCCAACGTTTAATTTAATTTACTGCCTATTATTTTTTTGCGGTAGGGCATCATGTAAAATGCAGCCACAATGACACTGAGAAATGAGCCAACCTTGGAACTTTAGTCTTGCTTCGAACTGGCGATTACTCTTTCTGGGTGCTTTCATGTTATCTACTACACTACCGAGGCAATTGCTTTGTCTTTCTGTTAGCAAGTTTATTACCTAACTGTGGTATCAGCAATCACCCGCTGACGGGAATGCTATTAGTAGCGCAAATCGACATTGAACCCAGTTAGGTCGAAGTTACAGTCGAAATGACAATGACGAGCTAACAGCACCGTCTGGGTTAAAACTGATTGAGAGAAAGGCAAAGCAAAGGCCCTTCGAAGCGCACCTGTAGTTCCGAGATTTGTGGATATCTCAGAATCAGTATTGTTGTTACAATATCAATTTTTAGGGCTATCAAACTGCATTTCAGTTTATAGGACTTACAAAAAGAATTTTAAGATCGTCATTAGCACTTACGCCATTTGGATATATGTCGTGCCGAGATGCTTTTCGTAATCGAGCGGATTCTTCTAGTTTGCCGAAAACCAGCTTCGTCAAATGCCGCTAACCACCTTAAACGCGACTGGCAACAAAGAATGGCGACCAACAACGTTCTATTCGCAGTATTCGGTCTTCTAACCCCAGTACATGCTGTGCCCATCACGAGTTCCTTTTATTGGAGTAAGTGTAATGTAGTTCTAACGATGAAATTCTTTTATGTTAATTTCACAAAACTTGAAAGAAAGTGGTGATTAAAGGCCTGGTTTTCTTCACTTACTTTTTGTACTTAGCAAACTTGCCTTTATTGCCTCAGCCTAGCACCTTTTTATTCCTCGTCTTTTTCACTGCAAACACAACTTTCTTCTGAACACTTTACTATCCTAAAAGACCGACTTTCTATAAACCTCGGCATAAATGATCGATATATCTATATATTAACTAAACTAAGCCAATAGCAAGATCCACGACCGTCCTGGTATCAACGTACGATGACAATTCCTCCTTTGATCCACAAAGGCTGCAACTGCCTGTAGTGGTGAGGACACGGGGCAAACTTTGACCTGGCTGACCTCAGGTCTCCAGAGAAACACAATAGCTAAACCAGAGACGAAGTTAGTACAAGTTTTCGTTATTGTTGTAGTTGCTGTAGTTCGATGGTCGACGTCTCGGCGACATCGCTTTCTTCGGAGCCTAGGCGTATCATATGTAATTATAGCCTTATGGTTCGGTGGAAAATATGCAGTACTAATAAAGATGATAAATGCAGTTTTCTTAAAAACTGCTGAAAACCCACCCAGATCACAAAATGAATTTGAAAAAAGGCGTCAGGTCGTAAGATCACGTATGGTAGTGAGCTATTCGTCTTTCCGGTTCATCTCCAAAGTTTTTAAATTTGTCCAAAACGCTTTGAGCGTCATGAGAGCTTTTGTGATTCCTGTGCTTGGATCCTGACAGTCACTTCAAAATCATCACCATTTTGCTTTTGTGCCCTTTGTGCCCAGTGTGTGCTTTACTAATAGGGCATGTCAATGTTTAGACGATTAAATTCTGAACTAATTACAACAATGCCCTTATTTTCTCCTTGGAAAGTCTAAAGAACAAAAGATTATGACCAGTGAATGCCACTACCTTTCATTTATCGAAACAGGTCGTGTACGGTTTATCTCTCTGAACGCCTCACCATCTTATCAATCGTACGTGGTAGGAAGTTCCTGGATGTCAACCTGTCATTCATATAAAGAGGTGGTGGGACATCTACCAAATGCCCTCGAGCTCATCCATGATGGCAAGAGGCGCAGGAGAATTGCGTTCGGAAATCAGCATAGCGCAATTGTGCACCAACCGCGGCAGCCATCTTCTACAAAACCTCATTGTAAGAGTTTGAAGCAACTTATAATCCAAAAGAAGCGGGTCCGGCTGTGATGAGGACTTTTAAAAGCTCAACCATAGCTATGTTGGAATTCCAAGCAACAAATTCTAGCCAACTATTTCACTGGAATTTATGCTGAAAAACCACATGATTGTTTCACTAAATAAACAGCTTTTACGCCAATGTCATTGAACAGTGAGGAAAAATTGCAATACGACGCTTCTAGAACGGATTAAAATTAATCTTCTGTAAGATTTCACATTAGTTCTTCAATTTGAAGCCTTCAAGGCTTACTTCAGCTCCTCGCGAACTGAATTGCGTCTACTATGGCGGAAACAACACTAGGTGCGCTCTGATCCATCCGGACTTCGTTGTCGAACAAAATCCAGGATGTTTCGATGAAGTCGACAAGGTCGCACTTCTTTTTTCATAACTTTATGCTAATTTCTTTTCATTTTACCTTTATTTCTATTTACTTACTTAGTTCTTGAAAAATTTGGCAGCCCATATTCACCAGTTGTGTGGACGCCAGCCCATTTTTCATTCGTTTCTTCGCGTCGCAATCGTCTCTGTGGTATTGGTTTGATTTGAGCATGGTAGAGGGTTCAAGTCTCACAACATGATCTTGAAACATTGGCTTGGTTACAAACACATCCGCCCATTGTCTGGGTGGGCACCTCGCATTCTTTTGGAGTCCACTCAACCGTTCTTTTCGTTTAACTGCCGCCTGTTTTTCTTATTATGTGACAAAACGATCTATACTTAGCTATCGATGGACATTCTTCTATACCCGAAAGATGAGATAGGTTCCGAAGACCTAAATTGCTTATTTCAGCTGGAAGTGGTAAGTTACTATTAAAATTCAGAGAAAGTCAATTAAATACTCCATGTGTGGCGAACACTTTTCTCTGAAGTGTTAGCCCATATCTCTGCAGCATATTAGAGTGCCGGGAGGATTTCTGAATCGAAAAGGTGAGCGCGGAGTTTCAGGTCCATTAGTTGGTCGGTGGCTTCTTTGAATGACCCGAATGCTGCCCGTGCTGCTTTCCTTCTTCCCTCTAATTCCTCCTTCATGTTGTTCCCTGTGTCCGGAACCTCGAAGATACGTGGTGACGTACGTAGGTGCTGTCTGTAATCAGAAAAGCATCCAGTTCATCTTCAGGACCTAGGTTTTCTTCTTTTTTACGCGTAATCCAATTCTTTTTTGCTCTATGGTGAGTTCGTTGAGAATCGTCTCTGCTTCTTTGGCACTTCCTCAAAAGACGACGGTCTCTTTGGGAAATGAAAATTCAATAGGTATTTTCCATCAATGCCTATGCCTTCCTCATCCTAGTGAAACGGCTTCATTATCCATTGCAGTGCGACCGTGATTAGCTTTGTATAGCCTTCTCGAACCCCTTTTCTAGTGGCTGTGATAAGGTGTCGATGGTAGAACTTTTCATTTAGAGTCAATTTCCTTGTGCTAATCGTTTTCTAACTTTGCTGTCTATCTTTCTCATAAATATTAATTGTTCGATTCTAACCGGTATCACTTGTAATAATTTCGTAGGTTTAGAAACGGTCCATAATAAATGTTTTAAACAACTTCTCTAAGAATCGACTTCCATCTTCAAGAATGACCTTTTGGAAATCAGTCATAAAATTTTTTGCCATGAAATATCGGAATGTTTTCCAACCGTCTAATGGTTTACTTGCTCAGGCAAACGTAACTCGTGTCTACTGTGGACTGAGTTGTGAAGAATCGGACGAAACGACAATTCTGAAGAAGAAGCCTCAATGGAACCATCAATGCTCAATGTTTTACACATATAACTTGGAAAGGCGTCGAAAAGATTGGTGAGAAAAACCTTTTCTTTTCCTTGATCGCTGAATATCGGATTTCGGATGTCGTTTTGTGGAATTAAACTTTTGCACAAGTCTTCCTCCACATTGGCACCATTTGAATCGTTCTAGAAACGTCTTCACACAAGGCACTTTTCGTGGTAATGTCACTAACTTAGTAAAAGAAAAGCTGCACTAATAGCCAGTCGCTGCATTACCTCCGAAAGAGTGCAGCCAGTTGCACAAAAACCCGTAGTCTAGTGTAACTCAAAAAACTGTTTCTTGCCTCTCAAAGTATGATTAAGCTCGCTCCTAAGACGATGAAATTTCTATCCATTACTGTATTAATCATGACTTACAAGGACGTGTGTAGCGTAGCGATTAGAGCCATTCTATAATATGCAATAGGTCCATTGTTCAATCCTGTAGGGACAACTAGGCATTCCTTCTTTTTGAGGCGGCAAATTGGTACAACACTTACCTGGGAGAAAGAAACTACTGGATTCCACATCGCGAATCCCCCGTAAGTCACTACATAGAACAAATATGCGTTCTATCGTCTCTGTAGTACTTATTGGAGTCGAATGCAAATCATATCGTTGAGAGATTGATCGACATCGAATGCTTTATTGTTTATCCTTCATAAGTTTCACAGGTATCTATGGCGAAGTGGTGTGTGCATCAACACAACTATGACGTTCGAAATCCTATGTGGGACATACCGCGATCCAAGACTATTCTACTTTCATAATGAGCATTTATTTGAATATGAAGACACTAAATGAATGTAAATTCTTCGCAACGTGAACACTCATACGTTTGCTTTTCTGGAATTTTAAAATACTTGAATTTAAGTTTTAGGTGATTCGTTCGTGTTTCGCTATTGATGTTGGTCAGAATGAACGTTCTCGTCAATACATTCTTGTTCAGCTTTAGTTCTGCTACAGGCTAAAACCTAGCTGCTAAGCATTAGCACCTTATGGAGAGCTACGAAGTCTGAATATAAATAGTCTGAGGTCCTTGCTCTAACAAATATTCGCCGTAATGCGACAAGAGAAAGTGTTTTCACACCTTGACACTAACATCTTTCACAAAAAACCCCAAATAGTGAAAGTAAGGTGGACGAAAATGGGCCTCATGAACGTTAAAATATTCGAAGCAGACCACCACCATGGACGAAGGCAGCTGGAGAGAAGCGAATCGAAATATGCTGGCGTCTGCACTAATTTTGAAGACGGGGAATCCAAATATCGGTAATCAAGAGGGATTATTAATGCTGAATTTCTCACAAAAAAGTTCGATTTCTTCCTCACTCTGGATGACAACAAACATCTGCTGGTTGTCGAATCTGGGAAGATAAACGTTCGCGAGAACGTGCAGCTGTCAATACTCGGATAAACACTTGCGCTAGACGAAGCTTCTCATCACGCAGTGTTCAAATTTATGACAAATTATGGTTTTCGTATGGTATTGCACTAAACAAATAAATAATTTCATAACACCAAAAATCGATCAAAAATATTCATAGCAAGAACGGTCATAAATATGGTGCAGAAACGATGTATATCGATCGGTGGAGAGCAGGATAACACATTCGCGACGACACGGAATCATAGGTGGGGGATATTGTGGCCGATACCACCTTCACGGAAGCATTCTTCCTTCTGTTGGTTTATCCTGGAACAAAACACTCCACGTGTACTTCTTACAATCATTCGACATTGTATTCGACACTGATGTTGTGGCGAGCGTCGACTGAGGAAAGCTCTATTATGCACTTGGATGTACAAAAAAAAATTCTTTGAACAAGATCGTTGGGCTGTAATTTGAAAAACAATTGGGTTCAATTGCAATGGCTATAATGAATGACGGTTTCTATATGGAATGTGAGTGCTAAAAACCAGAAGTGTGCTCATGTTAAAGAACATTTCCAAATGCGGGCGTACATGTAGTTGCGTGTCGAACCATTGTAGCATGTAGTAAATAGGAGGTATCTGCTATTCACATCCAAAGAGCAATAGAGTAAAATCTGTCCTACAATCTCGTCTTGTTGCCATCCCTTCATTTTTCCTAACATCGTCCAAGCATTGTCTAAACTGTTGGAAAGCCAGCACGTCCACTACGATTAGAATTTAGGCATCGACCCAAGCTGCTCAAAGGAGAAACTAGTCGTCGTCAAGAATGTGTTAAATGGCTTTCCCAGATGAGAGATGATGTTGATGGTGTTTCTACTCAGCTTCTTAATAAAAAACCAGTAACTACCACGTTTATACTCATGCAATTCTTCTCATACAAGTTGTAGTTTAATATTTGATGGAGAATATCTAAAGAACGTTCACTCTTCTAGCAAAATGAAATAAAGTTTACATTTTTATCACCTCCGTGCACTTCAGCAGTCTGAACAGAACATTACAACACCAGATTATGTGACTTTATCAAAGTTCTCATTATTTCGGTAAATTAATATAAGTGGATAAGTCGCTTGAAATCTTTTTGCGCTCGTCGACTGGAGCCGGAGCAACATTCAACGGCGTAACCTTTGATCGTTGACTGGATTTCCGCTGATTTGGTGGTAAACGAACTGACGGTACAGTTTGTTTCCCAACTGGCTTTGGTAGACTGAAGTAAGTAGATTGAACATTCTGTTCCTCTCCCACACCAACCGGTACTGCTGGTGCGATACTAGCACGTGCGTCCACGGATCCACTCTTTGCGGTCATTAAGTTCACTGGCGGATTCGCGTTGTACGGTGTCGGTTCTCCAGATGAAGGTGTATCACTTGCATTTTCACTTGTACGCTCAACAGGAGTCTAAATGAAAAATCTTTTCCTTCTTAACTATACGAGAACACCAAGGATAAAGCCTCCTCTCTTATAACTTTTTCCAGCCACTTGAAAAAAAGAGATAAAGCTGTGGGCGTTGATCAACCCCTGTGGGATGCGCTACAATGCATCAGACTTCATTAAGAATCGTTTGCAGGTGATTGAATGCATATCTGGACTATACAATGACTCGCGGTGGCCTACCGATGTATCGAACCAGTGCTGCTATCCTCCCAGACAAGTGTGCTACCAATTCGCCGACCCCGGAGGGATGGAAGGCTTGGTAGGCCATCAGCGCTGGGATCGATTCCACGTGTCTGTTGCAGGGCGCCTCTGACCATTACGCCACACGTGCCCTTCAACCACTTTGCTGATTACTTATCTCAACTCATGAATTGCTTATGCTACATAGTAACATAGAAATGGGTTTATAAAGTGTTTGCTGCTTGGTTTCTCCCTTGGGATTAGCCATTTCCTCTACCTTTTCAGAAATCAAGTATTTCTCAGCTAGTTACATTAGAGATTAAACTTTGGGTAGTTCATTTAGTTTTATTGTTTATATATACCCACCAATGGAGATATTGGTGCGCCACGTCGACTTAAAGAAGCTTTTGAGGACCTGGCAGATTGCTCTGCAGCTTTTGATTTCCGAGACTCCACTTCTTCATCCGAAATGGAACTTTTGGATTTGACCTGAATGTTTTCGCTAATTAAGCCAAAGAACACATTTGTCAACGGTCGTGAGACTTTCTACAGTCAGCAATGGAATTGAAAGGTGACACTCAATGAGGTTGCGCTTATGCAGAAAAATATTGGATGAAAATTGTTGGATGGGTTCTAACCCTTCCTGGGTTGTTACCCTACACATGTGACTCTAATCACAACATTGAATGTCACAGCTGGAGTTTTCCTATGGATGAGGAACTAAGCTGTGTGCGTTAATTCCCGGTATGTCAATGAAATATTTCGCTTTAGCTCGCTACTCACAATTTGGAAACGAACTGTAGATCTATGACTGCACAAAACTAATATCACTGTTGCACTAGTGGCAGCACCCAGAGAGGAGACCAATAAGTCATACGTAATCATCGAATCCACACTCTGATTGCCATGCGAACAGCCGATACGTTTACATCTTTTACAAGGCCATAACTTTATAGTTGTTGAACACAGCACCTACAGTTTAGCTCAAAATAAGAAATACTCTTATCAGAGGGCATTGTAAATCCCAATGTTACACAACATTCATAACAGAACGCATCGATATCAAGGCATAAACAAAGGTAGATTGGTCAGTATGCTGTGAGTTCAATGCGTTCTTCTTAGCAAATCTCTTTCTGTTAGAACTTTAATATTCGTCGCCAGCTTTCCAAACTACAGTTATTTTATTGAACTCAGTCCAAGAAAATCTGTATTCAACACTGCAATCTACAAAAAACTATACTTCGGAGGAGTTTGTTCGTTGACTGTCCTCAAACACCGTTGGTTGTGATGAGGGTGCTAAGATGCCACCACTGGTGAAACTGCCATAGACGAAGAGCATGTAGAGTTTATTTTTGCACAAAACAAGAAGTTGAAAACTGTTGCGACTACTGGCTTCAATACATTGAAGAGCACCACTGATTTCGCAGAGGCCAAAGGATACAGTGAACTGGTCTGCAATTTTAATAACGCAAATGCTAGTTTTTTCAACAATAGATGATAAATGTCGACAGCTAGAGTACATTTGTGGTTCGAAATATTACAAAGTGGGAGAATAGGCTTTGTGTTATCCACCTAGAAGTAGAATGTTCCCATTGCATGCTATATATCACTTGTTAAACACATTGCTGGAAGAATTCGGAAGGATATGTTTACTTGTGTTGAATGTATTACCACATTTCTGGTAGCCGACCTGTTTCGACGATAACCACGACCCATCATTACAAGTCACCTGCCGTCCCGCTGATCATCGAATGACTCGAGCGGATAAAGTAAAGAATAAAGCTCAGCGTTGATCAATCCGTGAGGGATGCGCCATGCATTCGACTTCATCAAGCATCGTTTGGAGGTGACTGAATGCATATCTGGCCGCTAAAATGATTCCCGATGGCTTACCGATGTATCGAGCCAATGCTACTGTCCTTCAAAACAAGTCTGGCACCAATTTCCCCACTTCGGAGAGATGGAAGGCTTGGTGGGCCAGGGGTACGGGAATCGATCCCATGTGTATTGCACGGCACCTCGGACCCCTGCGCCACACGTGCCCATAGCCACGATTCGAGCGGGAATCTGTAAATCTTCCGTTTCTCCCAGTCACGTCCAAGAACAGACCAGTGGGTTTTGCGCGCTCTAGGGGCACTTTGACCATCATACCTTTCTTCTGAACTTTCCGTGAAGAACTCTGACCATCGGCTCGTTGGTCTTCCTGCAGTACATTTGACATCCTGAGAAATCCAGTCACTAACGGCTCTTGCCTATCGTTTCTCATTCATACGCATTACGTGCCCGATCTACCTTACCTTCAACTGCTTTTCGTATGGTTTTGCTTTATCATTCTAAATAAAAGTGATAGTTTTTGTAAGATGTGGTCTCTATTTTAAATTTATCTAGAATTAAAGCTTTTACAACAAATCCAATTTTTATGGATATCAAGGAAGGAAATCTTCGAAAAAACTTCTACATTCCGCCACCTCTAATTTCAATCCATAAAGTTCACTTTGAGCTGAGATATGCTTCCTCAAAGGACTAACTACTTTCGAGTATGAAAGGATTGGAAGTAAAGGTGAATTAGAAGGTTTGCTTTTAAAAAAATAGTAAAAATTGACAACGCCAATAAATTGATGGAGTTTTCCACAACTTTTATTAGAGAAATTAGACTAGTTGTTCTAACATTGCTGAGGAATATTCTAGAAGGTTAGAGGAATAGAACCACAACAATGATAAGGTATTTGCGAAACTCCGGACCGCAAGTGTCTACGTTGGGAAACGAACGCACTATTACCTTTTCGAAGGGATAACGCATTCACCACCACACCATGTGGGTGCTTCGTTTCGCCCGTCACTCAACTAGTTCTGTCGATCGACCATTCATCGTATCGAGTACCATTAGCAATCACGCGTCGACGGGATTGATCTGCAGAGTCAAAATCAACAATAAACTCAGTTAAGCTGAGGCCGTGGTCGAAATCACAGTCACGCTTTACTGCCTATTACAATTTTTCACGGCAGATAAAAAGTTAACATTGTGATTTAGACTACAGCCTCCACTTAACTGGGTTCATTGCCGAGCTCTCCGGATCAATCCCGTTGACAGGTGATTACAGATGGCACTGATCGATAGAGCTAGATGAAAGACAAGCGAAACAAAGAACTCGCATTATGTGATGATGAACGCGTTAGCCCCCAGAAGGCGTTATAGCGCCTTCGTTCCCCACCACAGACAATTGAGGTCTGTAGTTTTGCAAATATCTCAGCATCGCTGTGGTTGTATTTCGTATAATACCCTGCTGTGAAGAAATGTAGTAGGCAGTGAAATAGTCGGAGGGATATTTTAGAATATCAGAAATGTTTATAAGGCTACCTCGTTGAGGCTATCGTCATTCTGCACCGCCTTCATCGCTTTATTCTTTTTGTTTCCTTTCGCTCCTTTTCACCAGTTTCTAACTTGATACCATCGACCTTCCAATTTACAACGAATCTTCTTTTTTGTGGTTTTCGAATTTTTTCCAACTGTCAAGAGTATAACATGGTGGCATTGAGCCATGTTAGCATATAACTACTTCAGATCGGCATCTTATCGAGAGTGAAAATAAAAAAATGATTATGTAGAGGGTCGGTGTACGAATATTAGAAATTGTTATAAATCCTTTAATAATGATATTTGGAAGCCGGTCGCAGACCAGACGAAGAGATCTCCTGGACGGAAGGATGTGCTGTGGCGTAGGACACGGATATGAAAGATTTTTATGAACCTTTTGAGAATGATATTTGGGAGCTGGTAGCAGACGAGGCTAACAGATTTGCTGCACGGAAGGATGTGCCGTGGCGGAAGGCAAGTGTTAAACAGATGAGAAGATTCGTCGGTCTGTTGTAATAACCAGGAATTTTGAAAACCTGCTGGCAAACTTCCATTTTGCCGGCGTCACAAGGTGTAGGTAACTAGAACGATTGCAGCCTAGTGTTCATTTGTTAGAAAAACTACCATGTGAAACACATATTTCTCTGTATCTATAGTTTAGATACACCTTTTTTACACATGCTTTAGTTGCATGAGGTTTTTCCCCCAAACACATGGAGGACATATAATGAGAGCACAAGGAAAGCCTCGCTGAATGACTTCGAGATGGACGTCTACTTGTGTTAGATTAGATGCGGGAGGCTTCAACATCGTCGAATTCTCATTTTGTTAATGAAGGTGGCACCAGGGGTTCGAAAAGAATAGAAATGATGTGTGAAATGTTAAAAGGATATTACAGATCAGCACGATCGGAAATACGCTACAAAACGAGCTAGACAGGTTAGCACTAGATGGAGCACTACGGCAAACACTGTTCAGAACGCTTCAGTACTTATCATAACATGTATGCACCACCAGTGCAAAACTCCATACGTAGATTGTTAGTTTCGGATTTGAAAGTTTTATGTAAAAAATGATGATTGTGTAAGAATTTTATATCGTTGATTCTAAGATAAATGCGAAATAGAAACCTTTTCAGGAGATCCTATCTCTCTTTGGATATGGGTACTGCTTGTCAGGCTAATTTCGGCTCAAGTTAAGGTCCTTTGAGGACCAAACTGTTTAGTTAACGCATCCTTTTAATAGCGATGCGTATTACTCTGCACACCGTACTCCGGACCACACCAAGAGACTTTTTTAGGAACTTCCTAACTGTTTCCAAAGGTAAACTTAGCTTAATTCCACTGATAAGTTCATATTTTGTCACATCCGAGCCACTCTGAAGAAGTCTCCTCAATTGTTTTATCACACCGAAAGGTTTTCTTTAACTGTTCACTTACAATTTTGAAGTAGTTTACTCTTCTTAACAACGATACTCTCTCTTCGCAAGCTATCTCGCCCAAAAAAGGTTTTTTTGGAAATTATTAAGTACAGAAAAAACTTTTTACGCGCTACTCCTGGTATTGATTCTATGTTTGATGAGCTATCGATAGAATACAAAGTGTCGCGAAACACCTCAATGAAGCACTGAAGAGGCAAGAAACCATTTCGTCTCACGTGTTCGTCAATGTTTCAACACATAATGATTAACACCGAAACTGCTGCGAATGATGAGAGTCCTTGATATCTGTTCCTTTTGGAGGAGAGGAAGGAAGCGGACTCCACGCGTTGAGTTCAGTGCATGCAAAACGCGACGAGTAGTTAGAAGTAGTCCCGTGCGACCACCAAAGATAACGAAACATGTTCGTTAATGTGCTTTTAACTATTAAATGTATTAAAAACTTCGAAATCACCACTCGTGAAAATTCATGGGAGCTTCAAATTTATGTATATTCAGTTAATCGAGGAGAAAATTTCAACAAATTTTCCATGTCTCCTTGTGTATTTATCGGTTTCAAACAATCAGTTTAAGAAATATTTCGCAATTAGGATGAATTTCACAATAATTTTTTACAATTTTCTAATTTTTTTTCACATTACAATAGTTCTGATCAGTTTCGCCTTCCTTAAAAACATGTAGTGCAAAAAAGCGTCATGTACTATGTATGCATATCGATTCACCGAAGTCATACTAATAACGGCCTTGATCAAGTAGATTGGTGCATGAGTTATTGAAAAATAGATAATATGGCTTCACCTGTATAACGAAATCTCGGGCACAATAAATCGTTAACCGATAATGAAGGAATATTACGACAAAAACCACTTACGGCAGCTTTAAGGAGGATCTTGAGCTTATCATTCAAACAGGATGGTTCAACGAGTAGAAAGAGAAGAATAAGCAGTTTGGCAACGTAGTACAATGGAAATACTTCTAGCATACGATCGAACGCCGACACAGTGAACGCAGTAATCCTGGAATCTGCCACCGTATGCACGCTGTTAAAACATTGTTTGTATAATCTTAACCCTTTTATTTACTGCCTTCTTCTTTTTAATGGCAGGGTATGTTGCGAAATATAACTCGTATATAATGCTGAGATATTTGCAAAACTCCGGACCGCAGGTGTGTGCGGGGGAACGAACTCGCGTTCTTGTCCTTACCGGGGAGCAGCGCACTTCACCACCACACCATCCGGGCAAACTACCACCGGAACTAGCTGAGAGACAGGCAAAACGAAAAACCCTCATTTCAAGTCAGTCGCTGGCATCTATGATCAATCGCGTAATTCACTGAAGGAGAAAGAACAAAAAATTGTACATATTTAGAGACAGTAGGTATATTGGAAACTCTTTAACACACAGAGACCGACGCGCATGTATACCTACTTTGATAGAAAGAGAGGGCAATTCGACCGATGCGAATCTATAACCAATCATAGAGAATGAATCAAAAAATTAGGCATCAAATAGATGCACTAGCAATCTAGACGTCTCCTTACAAGCATCGAGAGAGATATTTCGTCGTCGTCGGTGTGTTTGAATGTTTTTATTTATCGCGATGCGTAATTGTGCTTTAAGATCACTTCTCTTCTTGAGCAGTGGATAGAACTCATGTTACCTTGACGAACTAAGCGCCAGCCGACTAGCGCAGTAATGTGTAATGACGTCTACTAGTAGCACAGCTGTTTGACAGTTTCCAATGCAGAATTACAACTATTCATGGCAAAGCCAAACGCCACCAGGTAAGACATATCCCCAGTTTTGCTAGGTCACTGAATGAATAACAGAAAAGGAGATAACATCGTACCAGTACACACGCATATTCTCTACGGGAGGTCTCTCTTCTGGGAAGGCGAATGTGAGAAGAAACGGAACTACAACGGCGATTCCATTACAAACTATCCAAGCGTTTTGTCCCATCAGCCAAAACAAAATTACCACGCCAATTATTTTGGCAATCTGAAAAGCACGGAAATCCGATAGCGTTACTTCTAACTAAATGAAAAGAATAAAGAGCCCAGCAGTAATTACCAAGACCGACTTTCTATTGACCCGAGAATTGATCGAATAACTCACTGCTTTTTTGATGAACAAACACGAGATTGCGGCCTTTATTTTATTCACATGAAAAAACATACTATTCATCTGATCTCTTGAAAAGCGCGTGGGGACGAATACATTGGTGAAACGGGTAGACCACTTTGCGTCCGTACAAAAGAACACCTAGTGGGAAGACTTAGGGTTAAACCAAACAGTCCACTAGGCGCGTACGTGATACGAAGACATAACGGGAGGACTGTGAGTAGAAATTACCATCCTCGCAGAGGAATCGAAAACTTCAGCGCACAAAACTGTCGAAGAATTCTAGATATATCCCAAGAATTCAAAAATGAACCGCACGAGGAATGCCTCATTAACACGCGTGATCTCACACAATATCTCAGATTGATATTTTAATGTAAGGAAGGCACATTACACTTTCATGTGAACGCTGTGCAGTTGATCTCCACGTGATATACTCAGTGGAAGTCTTATAGAAAGCGTTGATTTTGTGAACAGGTTACTTTGTTTCAACTGCGATTGAAATCTGCTTCTCGTAGTTTTTGTTTTTATGAAGGTGTTTTGAAGGGCAGATTGCCACCAAATTGACCTTTCCAGGCGTTGAAGAAGGTTAAATCAACTAAAATGTCAGTTTTTTAAATGAATAAAGAGCAAATTATCAACCCTGTGTTTGTTCATCAAGAAAGCTGTGAATCATTTGAAGGATTTAACGTTGATCCATCTCTGAAGTATGCGCTATTCATGCGACTTCACTAGACACCGTTGGAGATCACTGAATGGATATCTGGCTTGTCTAATGAATTCCGGCTGCGTATCGTGTCAGGTTTCTACCCTCTCAGATAGATCTGGTACCAATTTACCGACCCTGAACGGAAAGAAAATTTGAGCCCGTGCGCTGGGTTGAACCAAAGAACACATATGCAGAAGAACACTGCAGAAGAACACTGCATGGCGCTCTCAACGATGCTCTAGAGTCGTCACTTTTGTTATCATTTGTACCAAATAAATCGTCAAAGAGTTATAGTCGACTTCTTGAAATTGGAGAAGTTTCACTGATAACCAGGTTTACCAAAGAATATACCACTATTCACCAACAACTTACCGCATCGGCATTTAGTCCGGTCATTTTTGATATCGCTGTAACACCACGTGCAGTGAACCATTTCTTAAAAGCATTCATCTTGAGTTTGTAATAGAAAATGGATTTTGTGAACAACATACCTTATTGTGCACTCTGTCATGAAGAATACCTTCCAGAGAATCCATGTCAGTATATTCTTGCAAGCAGCAGCCTAAAAAAATGAGCATTACTCACTTTCAATGGGGAGTAACCAGATAACTTCCGTAATCAAATATACGGTTAACTCCAGAGCCTGCAGTTGTTCAAAACGGTCGTTCTCGACTTCATGTTTGATACGGAAACCACTCATTTTTTGAAGCGAATGATGTACATGGAATATGTGGGTAAAAGAAAGCTCGTAATGAATGTGGCACACTCGTTTGTTTAACGAAACGGATAAATTTCAAATACCCGTAAAGTTTAGCCCTCATAGAAGTCATTGGTAACGATAGCTGATAGTGAAGCGGACTGTATAGTTACCACTTACCGAATGACTTGATCAGTTTGATCATTGAAAAAAAAAACGTTTTTCCTCAGTTCCTGCCTAATTGTACAGCTTTTGTATAGCAAGTATTTTTACTCCACTGAGAACTGCTGTGGTCTGTGGTTAAGTCAAATATATTTTTAAAAATTTGGAATATACGACTAACTTCCTATCCCTGCTATTTACAAGTTAGTTTCCTTCAAAGCGATTTCTATTCTGGAATCCCTGATTTTTTAAGCAACTCCATCAAATTTATCCTATCCAAATGACGCCTAGATATCCTCGGGTTTGAAAGCGGTAATGCTAGTTCATTGTTCCGCTCGAACATAAGCCATGCACTTCCCTCTCAAGATGTTGTCTGCAATTACTTACTTTGATACTCTGATGGCTCGTTGCCACTAGAAATGGAGGCCTTAGCATATCATCCATTCATGTCATGCTAGCGCCTTCCTTGGTGGTGGTCCACTTGGAACATGGTGATGCCGACGAGGCGTATTAAATGATCCGGAAATCATTATCATCTGCGAATTCAGACTGTTGAAGTGAGCCACGATTACTAGGTTAGTATGAAATTAACGGCAAATTTCGAACCTAAACATTAGATGAGTGTAAATGGATCAAACAAAACAAGAAACAAATCAAAGTGAGAACTTCAAGGATCTACACATTTCTGCCAACAGGATAGAATTTTGATGATTTTGGGAACTTGGAATTAGGGTTTTAGAAACGGTGAACTCCCGCAAGCTGCTCTCAGTAGTGGATTGCATAGTGAAAACTTTCCAAGCAAGAAGTTTTGCAGATGTATTGATAAGCAGTACTACAGTCGTCGATGAACAAGAGGTTTCCTACGCACGATGGATAAGGTTTTGTTCTAACCAATCTGGTTGAGTTATTATAAATCAATATTAGGAATAAAATGGACTACAACAGCAGAACAGGCGATGGATAATTTAATAGCGAAAACGTTTAAAAAAATTCATTGCATCAAAATAAGATGACGGGGCGTCGGGTGTTTCCATCACGAAGCCTAGCTAAGTGCAAACCAATACCAGGATCCACCACCGCCCTGACATAAAACTACTTGCATGGTGGCAAACCACTTTCTTTAAATCCACAAGGGCTGCGACTTCCTGTGGTGGTGTCGACCTGAGGAGGACTTCGGCCTGGCTGTCCTCGGGTCTCCAGGGAACCACAATGGCTAAACCAGCAAATCGCCGGAGAATGAAAATTATGCTAGAGCTCGGACATGAAAACGGGTCACCCAAGTAACCAAGTATATATATATATATATATATATATATACGTATATATACATATGTTTATATATATATATAAATATGTGCATATTAGTGAAGGTTCTGGGTTTCCTCATCAAATTTCCGCGTTTATTCTAATAAGCTCGACAGGGGATTCGTTGCTATTTAGAACTTCACTGACCACTAAAAGCAAATGCCCATTCATCACAATAGTAAAATGACCACTCCGCCCCTTTTGTTCAGAATCGCCATGCAATCGACGCCATTAAGTATTGTAGAGGTGAATGAGTGCATAATTACCACATAAAACACGTCAGCTTCACATCAGTAAGGAGTAAAATTTTTGTCAATTTCACTGCTTAAATTCTTCTCTCTACTCCTTTGTTCCTTATGAGTTGAATGTTGTTCACACTATTTCACATGTTTGTACTTTTTTAAGTTACACGGGAAAATCAACTCATTCTCTTTTCGCAAGTCGAATATATGCCTACGTCGAATATTTGTGTCTTTAACCAGTCGTGTAGGAGTCCATCACATTTCATTTTTGTACTGTACAAGCTATCAACACTTCGTTACAATGCAAAACGTTTGTAGCAAAAAAAAAGCAAACACTATAATATATCCGAACTTTCTACTAAAAGGGATTACCACAGGTTCAGATACCTGGACACGCAGTCCACGCTTTCACGATTAGAGCGGCGCCAGCAGATCGTTGATTCGCTTCTTTCTCGCGCATTCGTCGTCCATGGCTGATGATCTGTTTCGAACCTGGCAGCATCCATGGGTGGAGCATCTTCCGTGATCAGTACATCGTTTCTATACGCGAAGGCCACATGCAGTTAGTTGACGGAAACTAGGAGCAAGTTTACACTTCTTTTGGGTAATTGTATAAGAGGGCGCTTGCATCCCGTTGGAGTCCACTCAACAGCTCTATTTCTATATTTGTACAGTTTGTATTTGAACAATAAAAGTCAAAAATGGTTGATTTTACCATCACAAAATTTCATCAGAACCACTGTATTGATTCGATCCCGCTCCGAGGCCACAAAACCTCTCATCCCACCGGGTTCGAAAAATTGATACCGGACTTATCCGGAATAAAACCACTCTGCAATCCAAGTGCGAATTCTCAAGACCGGATGGAGACTCGAGGGTGTCGAACAAGAGATATTCCACATGAAATTAAAATCCTCAAGCAGCAGCCGAGGCCACACTTTAAAAATTGGAAGACCTTCGTGGATTATGGATGCGAGGAAACGAATCGAACGTCAGAGGTGTGGGGATACTCACAGTGTATGTGACGGATGGGTGGCAAAAGAAAAAAGTAAAAAAATAGAAAAACCAAAAAATGAAAAGTGTTAAGAAAAAACTGCTGAAGTATGAACAAGAACACTGTTCGCAAACATTTAGCTAAAGAATCCTGTCCAATTCCTTCTTGCGCATTACTAACCTCCCATTTTCTTCAAGCTCTATGCACTATATCACTTGTATCACCTGTAGACCCGTTGATCGTCGAGTGACTCGAGCAAGCTCCAGTAATTCTTCCATTTTTCCCTGTCGCGTGCAGGAGTAGCCTAGTGGGTTTTGCTCCCGCTAGGGACTCGTCGAGCATCATATCTTTCTTCAAGGCTCTTTGTAAAGAACTCTGACCATCGGGTCGGTGATCTTCCTGCAGTACGTTTGAAATCTCCAGGAATCCAATAACTAACGCCTGTTGTCCATCGGTTGTCATTCATACGCATTACGTGTTCGGCCCACCTTATTTTCGACTGTTTAGCGTAAAGAACGACATCTTTGATTTTAGATCGCTGAAGCAGGTCGGAGTTTCGGATTCCCTCCCTTGCTTGTGTGAAACGAGATACTCCTAGTATTGCCCTTTCGACTGCGCGTTCGATAACGTTGAACGACCTTGCATCCTGTTTACGCAGCGATCAGGTTTCTCACGCATACGTTAGGGCAGGAAGTACCATTGAATCGAAAAGGTGGGCATGGAGTAGGGTGTTCTTTGTTCTCTTCAGTACATCCTCGATGATCCTGAGAGCTTCCCAAGTCCTTCGTCTCCTTCTGCTCAGCTCTGGAGCTAATCATATTGACTTCCCGACTTAGATAGATATAACTGGAGCATTCAGAGATATTCGTTCCGTTGAGCGTGAATGGGGCATGCGAAACCAATCCGTTCTTCACGAACATCGTTTTTGCGAGATTTAGTCTAAGACCAATCTTTCCACAGGCTTTATCAAAGTCGTCAAGCATGCGTTCCGCCTGGGTATTGTTTGGTGTTATAAGGACGACGTCATCAGCAAAGCGAAGATGGTATAACTGCCGNGTTCGGCCCACCTTATTTTCGACTGTTTAGCGTAAAGAACGACATCTTTGATTTTAGATCGCTGAAGCAGGTCGGAGTTTCGGATTCCCTCCCTTGCTTGTGTGAAACGAGATACTCCTAGTATTGCCCTTTCGACTGCGCGTTCGATAACGTTGAACGACCTTGCATCCTGTTTACGCAGCGATCAGGTTTCTCACGCATACGTTAGGGCAGGAAGTACCATTGAATCGAAAAGGTGGGCATGGAGTAGGGTGTTCTTTGTTCTCTTCAGTACATCCTCGATGATCCTGAGAGCTTCCCAAGTCCTTCGTCTCCTTCTGCTCAGCTCTGGAGCTAATCATATTGACTTCCCGACTTAGATAGATATAACTGGAGCATTCAGAGATATTCGTTCCGTTGAGCGTGAATGGGGCATGCGAAACCAATCCGTTCTTCACGAACATCGTTTTTGCGAGATTTAGTCTAAGACCAATCTTTCCACAGGCTTTATCAAAGTCGTCAAGCATGCGTTCCGCCTGGGTATTGTTTGGTGTTATAAGGACGACGTCATCAGCAAAGCGAAGATGGTATAACTGCCGACCATCGATTTTCACTCCCACATTATCCCATTCCAATGTTCACACGACGTTCTGGAGGGTGGCGGTAAATAATTTCGGTGATTGTATCGCCTTGCTTAACTCCTCTTCTGACGTCAATGTTAATATCGTTGTAGAATGATGATACCTTGGATGTGAAATTTTTGTACAACTCACGGAGAATTTTTATGTACTGAGTAGGGACTCCTTGACTATCAAGGGCTTCCAAGACTGCTTCTATCTCAACTGAATCGAAGGCTTTCTGCATATCCATGAAAGTGAGACAGAGCGGTCTTTTGTACACTCGCGATACTTCAATGAGCCTTGTTACCGTGTGGATGTCGTCCATCGTACTAAATCCTTTTCGAAACCCTGCTTGCTCACATGGCCGTCCTTCGTCTAGTGTTCTGTCAATCCTGTTTAGGATGACTCGAGTGAAAGTTTGTAGGCGACAGACAGTAAGCAGATTGGGCGATAATTGCCGATACCGAGTAAGTCACCGTTTTTGAACAATAACACGGTCTTGCTGGTCTTTCACTGAGTAGGGATCTTGCATTCAGACAAGTAACGTGTGAAGAACCGAACCAGTGTGTTTACGAGGACTGGCTGAAGTTTCTTCAGGTGTTCTGGTCTTATCCTGTCCGGACCTGGTGCTGTTCGATTTTTCATCAACGAAATGGCATGTCAGATTTCGGAAGGGACAACCGGTGGTACAACATATCCATCCTCCTTTATTTCATATGACGGAAGATGGAGGTGGCTAACGAAGAGATCCGAGTAGTATTCGTGAATGAATTTCTTCATTGACTTTCTGGACGCTGGAACTGTTCCGTCTGGGCACCGGAAGGCAATCATTTTGGTCTTGTAATTGGCGAAGCTTCGGTGGGCTTTGCGAATACTTTTCCCAGCCTCTGCAGCTTTGACCATTATTGAGGCTCATCTCTCTTTAAGATCTTTTTTTATCGCCTGTCTGCATTGTTTTGCAAGATCGGGCGTTAGTTCACTGTTGCCTACAGCTCGTAGCACGCTGGCGTATCAGTTCGAGTGTTTCTGGAAACAAACGTCTCTTGGTGACTTTCGAACTCTCAGCTTTCATAGCGCTAACGTGAATATGTTTAATGAGCAGGTCGTATTTTTCGTCGATGTTATCGATAACGGCATCATCACAATAGTCGACTAATGAATTGAATAAGTCCCAGTTTGCGGTGGTTCTGGGGCTTCGATTTTGGAATTTAGCGGCTTTTTCTCCTTTCTGCGAGAAATAGAAGCTTGCACGAAGACGATAGTCTGATCCCGTGTAGAATTTTGGGACAACAGCGACGTCGGTTAGGCAAAACCTATTTACTACGATGTGGTCTATTTCGTTATGGTACTCTCCACTGACGGACTCCCACGTCGAGCGTTGCGGGTAGGGCTTCTGGAATTGCGAGTTACCATGGACGGTCTTGGTGGTCATGATAAATTCAAACAGCCCTCACCCTGTTCGTTCCATTCTAATTCGTAGGTTTCAATGTGCTGTTCTTCAGACGTTCTTCTTGGTCCAATCTTGGCGTTGAAATCTCCAATGATGACTTTGAAAAATGTATAATCTTTGCAGAACGTTCCCAAGTCCATATAGAACGGTTCGACTTCTTCTTCGTCATAGTTTGATGTCGGCGTGTAAACGTTGAAGATTTTCATAGCCGGAATTGATGCACATCTTTTTAGTCATAAACGTCCGATACGGGTTGTAAGTTGTTCGAATCAATCGATGTTCATGGGCAAACTCGTGTTGACGAGAACTCCTACGCCGCCGACTCCTCTATTGTCGCATTTTCTGAGGAACAGTTCCTCTCCGGTGTCATAGACGGCGATGAAAGGCCGGCGTCTTCTCGTCTCGACCAGGCAGATGACCATGTACCTTATCGTTCCTGCATGCATGAGTAAGTCCTCTATCGAGGACTCGGATGCAAGTGCACGTGCATTGTAGGTCCCATCCACGAAAATCCTCAAATTTGCTTGTGAGTGCAACTGCCGCCAATGTATTTTGTCCTGTTCATGAATGTTTTTGAATTGCTGGTCGAATGATTCTCTTTGGAATCCACGGACAGCTTTATTACAGCGTACTCTGGTTCTATACGCCGAACTGTCGAAGACAATGTGAGGTGGAAAAATAAGGCGTATGAATGACAACCGATGGACAAGAGCCGTTTGTGACTGGATTCCTCGGGATGTTAAACGCACTGCAGGAAGATCACCGAACCGATGGTTGGAGTTCTTCACGAAAACCCTTAAAGAAACGTATGTTATTCAACGATTCCTTAGAGCGAGCAGAACTCGAAGGACTACTATTGCACGCTACAGGGAAAAACGAAGAATTTACTGGCGCCCGCTTGAGCCACTTGACTATCATTGGGACAACAGGTGATAAAGTTAATACTCTGGTCTTCACCATAGGCAGTTGCCAGCTCATCCTGGGTCGAATGGAATGGAACTATTCCTTGACAAATATTGTATAAATCTGCTGAACCCCTGAGAGATGAAAAGTATCATAAACTCGCAGTGGTGTCGAAAAAATGGCCTCGCGTATTTTACCAATGCCCTTCTGACGTGCTACTGCAGGACCAACATTTCAAAGGTACAGGGTTTCTTTTCCTCCCCATACGTGTTTAACGAATCTGTGACTATCTACGACACACCTTATTTTCATTTTATATTGCAAAGAACAGGGTACGAACTGTATTAAAAAAAACTTTTGTAAAAACAAGCGATATTCCTCGCAGACAACAGATGATAAGAGTAGTTCAACTGACTCTAGTGATTAGAATCGTTCCTAACACCTAACTAGATTATACAACTGCAAATTATGAAATTGAATATGAATGACCTTATCGACCAGTTATTATATACTATATCGTCACGACCGTATAACTACTAAAAATTTCGGAAGCTAACATGACCATAAACGTCAAATTACGAACAAAATCTTGCAATACAAATACAAGTTATATCCTATACCTATGAAATATGCCATTAACATAATATTATGTTGATAATTGGGAACATATTAATCGAAAGGATCTAGAAGTAGTAAAAAAAGACATCAACAATATTAAAACGTCTTAAACCTAATCCCATGGCACAGTAAAACAGAAAGAGAACATCTATATGAGGTCACCAGCACGTTACTTAACTTACACGACAATGAGGCAGTTAAATAATGGAATTCTTTGCCTTACACCGATATCTCATCACCATGCCTTGCCATAACGTACATCACAAACAAGCCCGTAAATAGACCGACAGACTGCAGGAACAGCACATACAGACCACTATATAGCGAAACATTTAACGCTTCCTCCATGGCTTTTTTCATTTCAGGCATCTGAAGAAGGCATTTTTTTTAAACTGCCACTTCGTCAACTCTCAAATTGCACTGTCTTTCCAGAAAAAAAAAAACAAAGGAAAAGAAAAATTGGAAAATAAACCGAAACGTCATGTACCATACACGCCAGAGAAATATAGAGGAACATTCCACCAGCTAACGCAAAAGCGTATTTTGAAATGTCTGGACCAAGTTCACCGATCATAACACCGACAGCGAAGCCTAAAAAGAATTAAACAAACTGATGGCACAAACGATGAGACGGCTCACGAGTATGACGAAAAGGAAAACATTTTTAAAGGGAAAAAAGGTGGAAAAGGCAACATTTCTATCAGTGGTAACTAACAGCAGGTTCCTGAACACAAAACTTGTCCAAATATTTCCTGATACTTGAATCCCATGTCTCCACATAATTTCCGCTTAAATGGTACTTTATGGATTAATAACAATTGGATTTAACTTGATTTGACTTTACTTTAGCTTGGATTCAACAATTTATGAATTGGATTGTCTTAGGGTCTTCAAAGCCATGTCAGGACTTCTTTTAGATTTACAGCACTTGCCACCTAGTAACTGATGTTGCTACGTTGGCAACGATTTCCAGCAGTGGTTTACCATTAGTAGTCCTCATGAAAGCAAAGTGGAAATGTTGAAATCTTCTTGGCTTTATGATACCTTACTTCATTATATGAACTCCGGCTTCAAAGCGTAGTTCGACCAACGAGGATACTCAACCACAATGAGACAGGTGGTAAACGAAGAAACGAAAAGATGGAGGGGTGGAGAGAAGAGGTAAAGACAAGAAGATAAAAAGAAAGAGAACCAAGAAAAGTGCTGAAAACTTAAAACTCACCAGCTCTTTCAAGACTTCGGAAAATTTTCAAGAATTCATGCATTAGGCCATGCTTAGTGCTACTTTATCATAATAACTAAAATACATCAACTGCCTGTCACCTGTACCACCTGTCGTCCCGCTGATTGTCTAGTGACTCGAGCGGGCGCCAGTAAATCTTCCACTTTTCCCTGTCGCGTGCAAGAGTAGCCTAGTCGGCTCTGCTCGCTCTTGGAACTCGTCGACGATCATATCCCTCTTCAAGCCTCTTTACGAAGAACTCTGACCATCGGGTCTGTGGCTTTCCTGCAGTGTGTTTGAAATCCCGAGGAATGCAATCACTAACCGCTCATGTCCATTAGTCGTCATTCATACGCATTGCGCGTACTGCCCACCTTAACTGCTACAGTTTGAAATATAGAACAGCGCATTCGATTTTTATCGCTGACTTAGGTCGAAACTTTAGACACCCCTCCCTCATTTGCATGATACGGGATACACCTAGTGTCGTGCTTTGGACTCCGCGTTCTATAATATAACGTTGACTGATACTTTATCTTGCCTACGCAGCGACCAAGTTTCTAACGCATACGTTGGGGCGTCAAGTATCGAGGAGTCGAAAAGGTGGGCACGGAGTAGTATCTTCTTTGTTCTTCTCAACAAATCCTCGAAATTGAAAGCTCCCAAGCCGCTCGTTTCCTACTGCTCAACAGTGAAGCCAAGTCGTTCATCATGTTGACTTCCCAACCTAGGTAGACATAACTAGAGCATTCAGAGATATTAGTATTCATCAACTGCCTAGTTTCAAATACTAATGCACCATTCTGTACTGCTTAACGGATAATGGTGGAATAAATGAAAAACTGAGAAATTGATTAAATGCTTCTATCCAACATGATGAAAAATTGTAAATTGCAAAAAAAAATTCGTCCGCTACATAGACATTCACTACTCATAATGGCTAAGTATATAAGGATGTCAAAATATGGTGCACATTTGAGTTATTTCCAACAGGGACCTCTCAAGATGATAAGTGCGACATTCTCATACGAAACACTAGCTAAGAGTAAACCAGTGAAAGGAATTACTGCCAATTTCCTTACAACATAGTGACTAGCTGGCAAGTGACAATCGGCGGAAGTGTCACTAACACGGGAGACAACAAGAAAAGAAAATCTTGCTTAAACAGCAAATTATCAAGCAAATAGAAATTATGCTTTGGTATCCACGATTCCTCGTCAAGACAAGTATTGAAGTGTTCAGTTAAGTAACTGCGCTAAAATCTCCACCTACCGAAGTAACAAGTAGCAGCACTAAACAAGTTATATAGAAGAGCCTGACGGAGATTCATTCCAGAAGCAACAAGAATAGCAACATCCCCTGGAAAAAGTTGTCCGATACCACTGGTGATAATGACTTCTCACGTTGGCAAAATCCCAAAAAACACGATACCTAGCTCATGTGGAAACTCTTCGGCCAGAACAGCGAGCGAGACGGAGACTCCGGCACGAATAGACTCAGCAAAAGATGCTCCAATTGAAATACCATCTATGAAATTATGGAAGCCGTCACCGAATACGATCATCCATGCCACTGCCGCTATTGCCGAGTCGCCAACGCGAAATTCCACCGAGTGATCGTGGACACAAATACCATGCGCCTAGAATAAAGTCCATAAAATTTAGCTGTGTCAAGCTTGCCATAAACACTGACATGTTAACTGTACAATAATATGGTGGAGATAACATGAAAACATAAGCATTTACAACAGTCAAGAAAAACACAATGCATCCACAACCTTCGGACCAGCGGCTGTCCACAAACTTAACCCGAAAAATGACAATACACATTTCATCAACTTCAGCTCATAAGATGCTTTATCAATTGATCTAGAAGTTATATATAACAAGATTCAAGTTTGGTTAATTCTCCACAGTGAAATTTCATCTTTTTAGAGCCTTTCTCTTTTCTTTTTCTTTCGCTTTTTCTCAACGAGATTCGTATCACCAAAACAAAGCGTTCGAACAAACTTAACCTCGCCAAGCAAAATAATGTGATGTTAAAAATGCGTCGTTAATCGGCTGCGTACGTGTTAACACTCTCTTCAGATAGTGTATTAACAATAAACAATAAAATTAATAATGAAATCGAAGAAGAGCATGCAGTCCATTGGTTAGAGGTGCCATGCAATAAAAGGATAAAACCATGCAATAAATACAAGATATGTCGCTAATTCGAGCCAGCATCGAGGGGTCACCAAAGCCCATTATCTCTCCGAGATCAGCAAATTGGTACCAGCCTTGTCTGGGATGATAGCTGCACTGATTTCACACATCAATAAGCCATCGAAACCCATTGTGTTGCTCGGGTATGCTATATGTCAAGCCTAACAATGCTTAACACACTCGTCACGCAGTTGGTTTTCCAAAGCAGATGATGATTAGCCTACTAGTACAATATTTAGGAGTTCAGAACCCCACGCCTTTAATAGAAGACACTTAGCTCTATCCCAATAACTGCATATATTATTTTTACAGCCTCCCCTCAATTTTAAACCGGTTTAGAATTGGCAATTCCAAAAAATCGGAAACGAAGTTTAAATTTTTAAAGGATCTAACGAAAATGTGACAAATGCAAAGATAAAAGATACATTAGAAAACATCATCTTTGCCTATTGAGTGAAATTCAGCCGGTTTATTTGCTTTTGCGTTCAAAATATGAGCTCTGAAACAATAACGTGGAAGAGATATATGTCGTGGTTCAATCAGAATTTTACGTCCGGACCATTTCAAAACATTTACCCCGGAGGTAAAGACATAGATTCCTTTAGTTCCTACTGTAATTAATGAAATTTACTACGAGATAAGCTACGCTGATTAAAATCGAAAGTGACCCTTTTTTCCGCGCCATGTTATATTATTCCTAGATAGGTCACGCCGTCGCGAATGTGTTAGTGTTGTCGAATGCAAGGTAGACCCTAGGAATGAATTAACGCCTAACGCTTAACGCTTTTAATTAAAATTTAAACTTAAAAAACAACGGAGTTCGAAAGTCCGCATCTTTACGGTGATAAAAGAAATCCTTTTGAACAAAAAGATAGACAATAAAAAGACGTGTTAAGGCATTTTTTTAACTATTTAATAAAAGAAAACTAGAATTTGAAGCACTAGCACTCGATAAAGCAAAAAAAAATCTGACGGATTTGCTTAAATAAGATCAGATCAGGCTAAACGGTTAAATAGTCAGCATTTATGAACAGAGACCAAATTTAGCAACCATTGTTTTGCTCGTTCCGCTTCTCCCCATCATCATTGGCGACATTAAATACTCTATATATGAACTCCCCAAAAAAAAAGGTTACTGTCAACGGTAGGACACAAAGGAATGCAATAACACAGTTTGACATGCATATTGATATTAATACTGTAAACAAAAAAGTAGACACGCTTGTTTAACAGGAAGAAAACACTAGGTTGTTAGCCCACTCTCCAACAAGGCGATAATCAAATTTCAAAACTGACAATGACTCAAAATTTAGAGTTTCTACAAACTACGGCATAAATAGTCGATATAATTATTTATATTTTCTTATGAACAACTCTTGTTGAACGAACGCGAGGTCGGTATGAGCTGTTGTCGTTGTTGTTGTTGCTGGCCGATGGCTGACGTCTTGACGATTTAGCCTTCCTGAGAACCGTGCTGTTACGAATGGGACTAGTTGAGTAGAGTCCCAATAAGTCCTACTCGTAAAACACGACTCTGAGAAAGGCGAAGTCGCCGAAATGTCAGCCATCGATCAGCAATAACAACAACAACAACAACAACAACAACAACAGCGACAACTTATACCAAACTAGCATCAGCTCAACAGGATCAGTGCATAAGAACATATAAATAAAAACTGACGGTGTTCTAAACACTAACAATGAAAATCAACTACAGATAAACGAAAAATGAAAATTTCATTCCTACTAACAGAGTTTCGATGATTTTGAATGTCGTCAAATTGGCGATGGTTCAACACAAAAAGGGCTCCAAAAATCCGACGAGAACACATCTTGCAATGACGTCGAACGGAAAAGCACTAAATACGAGACCGTAGCGACCGTAAACTTATCCGACCTCATCAGAAAACACGTCGCTCTAGCGCTGTCTAACATTTGCATAACACGACGAGGACCATTAAGACGTCGTGTTGATAGGGGAATCAGTTAACAAAACGATAGATTATATAGATTAGAAAGCGATAAGGACGTGTGGAAGTTACAGAAAAAAGTGTAAGTGGGACGGAAATACGCACAAATAACGAAAACTTTTTATTTGCTGCATACGACAATTTTTCACGGCATAGGCACAACTTTAGTCGTAGGTAGCAAATATAGAGTTAACGTTGTGATCTTAATTGCAACCTCAGCTCAACTGGGTTCACCACCAACTTGTGTTTCCCACAACAATCACATTGGCGAGTGATTGCCGACGACAGACGAAACGAAGAATCCGCATAAAGTGGTGGTGAACGCGTTAGAACCCGGAATGCATAACAACGTGTTCATTCCCCAAGCAGACGCCTGCAGTCTGGAGTGTTGCAAATATTTCAGCATCATTATGGTTATGTACAAATAATTAGCGCTTTGCAGTAACGTCAAGCTGTTTGATGTGGGAGGCACTTCAATCAAAAGCGCTTGAATAGCAAGAAACTAGGGATGCTCATTAGAAGAAACCTAAAAATAATTGAAGCCACGATTACAGAAGAGGACAGAATATGTTAAACGGCGACCAGAGGCGAATTCCCACGTTTCTATGTTCAGCAACTGTTTGATGAATAGTGAAGGATAAAGTATACTGGTATCGGTTGGTGTTTTCAAGTAATTCTACAAGCGAAACTTATAACCATTGAAACTCTTAACAGACACATCAAGAGAGTAGCATGGATCTAATCCCTCACCTGATCTCCCATTGACTTTCCTGCATTATTTTCCAACTTCATCATCTCGATACCAGCTGCTTCGGTCATTCCAGCGGCATTATCCTTCAAAACAATATTTCGCAAAAGTTATACAAAACATAGAAGCCCATTTATAGAATTCGCCACACAGTAACTAGATCTTAAATGATGGATTATGTCCCTACACTTGTATGAAAGCCCGCTTTATTTGGCACGAGAGTAGAATCACTACGATCTGATACCTCATCGCGATCCGCAACTTGAACAGTCACGACCTGTGAGCGAGTACGCTGAAATAACACAGGTATAAGACACAAAGGAAGTAACGATCGTATTGTAATCAGAACGTTACCGTAAAGTTGTATTACTCACACTCTAGCTACTTCAGCGTACAACTGAGTACTAGTCCACTATGCGAGATACAAAGAAAAAAAATTTCCCGATAACCTTTTAACGGATTGTATAATCTACTCACGTACAATAAAAGAATATCATCCCATTATGCAGAGTACAGAGCAAAAAAAATTTCCTCGTATTCCTTAATTAATTCTATAAGTAAGCCTTTCAATATATTGACAATAATTCAAAGGAACATATCTTGGCTCAAAAGGGATTTTATTAAATGAACGATAAATTTATAACGAACACTTCAGATCTTATTCTACCATGGTGGAATTTTCTTTCCCCAGCCCAAAATAGATTTTTTTAACGCATCTTAGCGAGGCTTGCATATCAAGCAACAGAACGATAGAGCAGGCGTGATTTTATCTAATAGGATGTAATGATGTCCCGAACAGATCGCGTATACTCGCATAAAAAACTAAAAACTTTCCGTTCCCAAGAATACCTAGTGAATCTTTTCTGTTTCCCGAAAAATCCTATTTTGATCGAATTTAAAACGTAAGTAATGTTTCACAGAATATATAACACCCCAATGGTTTCCTACGTAATCATGGGTGGGAGGTTTTCGAACTGGTACTGAACTGGTCGGCTCATTCAACATTTTCACGTTAGTGCTATGAAAGCTGAGAGTTCGAAAGTCACCAAGAGACGTTTGTTTCCAGAAACACTCGAACTGATACGCCAGCGTGCCACGAGCTGTAGGCAACTGTGAACTAACGCCCGATCTCGCAAAACAATGCAGACAGGCGATAAAAAAAGATCTTAAAGAGATATGAGCCGCAATAATGGTCAAAGCTGCAGAGGCTGGGAAAAGTATTCGCAAAGCCCACCGAAGCTTCGCCAATTACAAGACCAAAATGATTGCCTTCCGGTGCCCAGACGGAACAGTTCCAGCGTCCAGAAAGTCAATGAAGAAATTCATTCACGAATACTACTCGGATCTCTTCGTTAGCCACCTCCATCTTCCGTCATATGAAATAAAGGAGGATGGATATGTTGTACCACCGGTTGTCCCTTCCGAAATCTGACATGCCATTTCGTTGATGAAAAATCGAACAGCACCAGGTCCGGACAGGATAAGACCAGAACACCTGAAGAAACTTCAGCCAGTCCTCGTAAACACACTGGTTCGGTTCTTCACACGTTACTTGTCTGAATGCAAGATCCCTACTCAGTGAAAGACCAGCAAGACCGTGTTATTGTTCAAAAACGGTGACTTACTCGGTATCGGCAATTATCGCCCAATCTGCTTACTGTCTGTCGCCTACAAACTTTCACTCGAGTCATCCTAAACAGGATTGACAGAACACTAGACGAAGGACGGCCATGTGAGCAAGCAGGGTTTCGAAAAGGATTTAGTACGATGGACGACATCCACACGGTAACAAGGCTCATTGAAGTATCGCGAGTGTACAAAAGACCGCTCTGTCTCACTTTCATGGATATGCAGAAAGCCTTCGATTCAGTTGAGATAGAAGCAGTCTTGGAAGCCCTTGATAGTCAAGGAGTCCCTACTCAGTACATAAAAATTCTCCGTGAGTT